ATGGCCACTCACGGTTCGAGTCCTGGACCTGGTGGCTTGCTTTCTCACCTTCTCTCTCTCTCTCTCTGTCTTTCTCTGGTCAAATTAAGGTAAATGAATGAATAAATAAAGTAAAATAAATAATTTAAAATAAAATAAAATAAAATGAAAACCATTTAAAAAAAAAAGCCTCTTGGCTCCTCAGGCTCTTGGCTCCTCAGGTGTCGGTGTCAACGCTGGCTGTTCTGAGCCAGAAAGAGGCGTGACCAGCAGGACAGTTGTCCGCACCCGTCTGAAAGCGCCGCGGCTGCTGTGGGCGGCTGTGGGTGGCCTGGGTTCGAACCCGGACTCCCGACTACCTCCTGGGCGGCTCTGGCCTGCGCTTTGGTTCCCTTGAGTGGTGTGTCCTGGGTTCAGGGGGCCACGAGGCCCCAGGAGAACGGCGGGCGCACCTGGTCGTCCTCCACCCTCTCTGCTGTGGGCTTGACTCGGTGTTGGGAGCTTTCGTCCCACCTGCCCCTTAGCCGGGCACCAGGGTCCTCGACCTGTGCTGGCCACACCCTGGCCACCTCAAACCTCCTGTGTGCTAAGACAGTGACCCCTAGAGCCCACCTCACCCCAGGTGCCCAGGAAACCCTGTGGTGGGACCGAGGGAGCTGCTGCTGCCCACAGAGCCCCAGCGGGGTGACAATCAGCAGAATCCCCTTCCTCTACTCAGGTGGCCCGGGCTGCCTCCCCCCTCCCCGCCGATGCCCTGTGCTCGGGCATGACAGTGGGGCACAGGCATTAAGTGAGGGTTCTAGAGAGAGGTCAGCCCCAGCTGCAGCTCCACAGCGTTCTGCACCCACACGCTGGCCACCGCTTCCGCTGCCTGGCAGCTCAAATCCGACCCGGGAGCCTCCCGGGGTCACTGGCCCAGGTGGGGGCTCCTGGGCTCCAGTGTGGGAGCTGGCTGCCCGTCTTCCTCCAGCCCTGAGTGGGTATGCCAGGGTTCAGCGGTGGCTCCCAGAACAGGGCTCTGGCAGAGTGAGGTCAACAGAGGAACCAGAGCCACTCACTCACGCGCCTGCACCACAGGGTGAGCAGGGAGGGGCCGCCCTGCACGGCCCATCCCTGGGTCTGGAGGTCTGTGGGGGGTGTTAATTGGTTTGTTGTTGCTCTGTTTTGTTTCTGATCACAAAAATGAATGCACTTAAAAGGGAATTTCAAGAAATACAGAAAATGATAAAGAGAACAAAACCTACCCTTCACGCTGTCACCTGAGTTGCCGGCAGGACAGGGTGGGCTGGGCCTGAGATGCTGTGCCTGGGGGTTCCCTGGACCCCCTTCGTCCACACCATCCCCTACTTTTTACTAAGAGTGCTGGGAGGACTGCTTCCTAGCCAGACCCCCTGTTGCCATTCAAGCTATCAGGCCTACAGATAACCTTCCCTCCATCAGCCCTACCTCCTTATGCCCCTTCTCACCTCCAAGAAGCCCTCCTTGACTGACACACCTCAACTACTGGGAGGTCAAGTGCCATGAGGTCCTCGGTTCCCAGCCTCACCGCCTGCAGGCTCTTCTCCCCTCTGTTGCTGGACACCCCATCAGGACTGACTGGCAGGCAGATGGATACCTAGGGTGAGCCCCCCACTCACCAACGGGCCCAGGTTCAGCACATGCACGCTGGAGCCACAGCCGTCCTCCCCGGTGCATCTCTGAGCAACCCCACGCGGCACCGCCCCCGGCGCTGCAGCCATCTTAGCCAGGAAACAGCTGGGCTTCACAAAGGGGCTCCAGTCCCAGACGCACAGCCCTGCACGCCCCCATTCCCTGCCTCGCAACAGCTGTGCCACCAACACCCACTGAGGGCTAACTGGGCCAGAGAGCGGCTCCCAGGCCTCTCCTGTCTGAGCCGCCGGCCCTCTGGTCCCGTGGACGCCACGGGGTGTGGGTGCAGACAAAGCCGTGTTCATTGAAGCACTGGGCTGATGGCAGTGGCACAAGTACCCCATTCTCTGCTGTCCCCAGCTGCGTCCCCTCCCCCAGGGAGCCTGACATCAGAGGCACTGGGTCAGACATCCTGGGAGCCCCTGCCCCCACCCCAGGGCTCAGGGAGGTTCACAGGACCCTAGCCTGGGCAGAGGCGCCAATGGTGCCTTCCGCTGGATGCCTCCGGCTCGCTGCACCTGAGCCTGGTCCTCTCCCTGCAGGGTGCACCCACCCCATTACACACAGCCTGGCGGGTCACACGCACCCTGGCGGGTCAGCCAATGAAATCTGGGTTTCCAGATGTTCGCCATGTTTGCCGTATACCAATCTCTCCCACTTCATCCCAGTGACCGAGAACAGGCCAGCCGGTGGGATGGCCCGGGAGGACAGGGCCCCGTGCCCTTTGGAGGATGCCTGGGTGGAAAACACCCAGCACCGGGCCTGCAGCTCACGTTCTTGTCCTCCGGGCCTGACAGATGGAAGCTGGACGTGATGCAAGCCTGCCCCATCAGTGACTCCAGGGGTCGGCAGGACCGGAGGGTTGGGCTATCAGCATCCTGGCTGGTGTGAGGCCCAGCCTGGAGCGTGCCCTGGGTCCTGGCCCAGCTGTCCAGAAGGCTGAGGCTGAGCTGACCCAGCCCAGATGTGGGCTGTCATTCGGGGCAGAGGGTGGGCAATGGCATCTCCTCTGGAGTCCTCCTCAGGGCTCTGCAGACCCTGCACCCCCAACAGCAGCAGGTTCTGGAGATAGTTCTACGCCCACCCCAGTGGCCCCAGGTTGGGGAGATGCTCACTCTATCTCGGAGAAGCAGGTCCTCTAAGCCCATCATGGGAAGCCTGGTTCTGGCCCTATCAGGACACTGCCCAAGAGGGAAGGCTGCAGCTGTGTGTGTGGCAGGGAGACCACTGGGCACTGGGCTTACCCACGCCCACGGGCGGAAGCTGCGGCCCACCGGGAAGGGTGGAGAAGGGTAGGAGGGATGTGCGTGCTCCGGTAGAGCAGAGCGGAGTCGCTGCCCCCGCCCCCACTGTGACCTTCCCGGCAGCGAGGGACAAAGGCCAGGAGAGCAGGCGGCGCCTTTAAGGACTCAGCGCAGGCAGTTCGGTGCCAGGAGGCGCTGGGGCACCCTGGGGGAGTGCCGCCAGCCGCCCCCTAGGCGCACCCGGCGAGGTCGCTTTCTTTCTTTTCCCACTTGATCCGGGGCCCCCAAGGCGCACCCCGCAAGGTCGCCCGCTTCCTTTTCCCACTTGAGCGGGGCGCGGCCGGGGTTCTCCCCTCCTCCTCCACACTGCAGGGATGGGGCTCCCGCAGTTGGGAGCGGCGGGGGCGGGGAGAGAAGCCTGGCTTGGGGCGCCGGAGCGCACGGGCTCGCGGCGAGCGCTCTTCCTCCCGCCCTCCAGCCCCCTCCCGGAAAAGCGAGCGGAGCCGGCTAGGAGGGGAGAGATTAGATTTCGTTCCTCTCTCATCAATTTTCTGTTTAATGTCACCGGACCCCATTGTGGGAGAGGGAAGCACGCCAGCCAGGCCATAAATTTGCAATTATGGCGCCTCCGGCCGCCTCCCCGCTCTAGCGGCCCGGGCGGACTCCCGCGAGCAGGTGGGGACGCGGAGCCCCGCGCGCCCGTCTGCCCGTCCCCGCCGACGCTGCGGTAGGGGCGTTCGGCGTCTCCCGCGGC